GGGAGGGAGGGAGGGAAGGAAGGAAAGAAAATTAAAAAATAAAATAAAATAAATGGGTGTGCCTGGTACCTTTAAAAAAAATCCAAGGTCTGCCGGCCCTGCCGCCCAAATCCAGTGAGAGGCCCTGCAACGGATCCCCAAGTCCGTAAGGGGCTGGAAAAGTACCCCAGGAGACTAGATAGCCAGGCAGGAAGTCCCGGCGGCGGCTGTGCTCCGGCTGGTGCTCCTGTGAGGAGGCAGCTTTCCAGGTCCCTGTCTCCTGGCTGTTTCTGAAGAGAGTTGTTCTGCCTCCTCCTCTCACCGGTGCTGGCCCCTCCCTGCCCTCTCAGGGTCCCTGGGCCTATCAGAGAGTAGGTGGGGCTGGGAATCCGCCTCCACAGAGGGTTCTGGGACCCTGGTCACTGTCTTTTGGTATTTGCGATGCTAATTTGTTCAACACAAACATTTAAAGTCTACTGTAGTTTTTAAAAACTTTGTCTTAGCATTACTTTACTTTTCAGGATATGAGCAGCCTTCAGAAGTAGAAAGGGGTGCTCTTCGGACCCTCCATGAGACCCTGCGACCGTCAAGGAGAGTGACAGTGAGCTGGGCCCCTGCCACACCTGGGCATGGCTCTACCCAGCCGTTTGGATTATTGCACAGTGGATCTTGACTGCCTGTGGGCCTTGGGCAGGTTACTTAACCCCCTCCGCGCCAGTTTGCTCATCTGTAAAATGGGGATGAGGCCACACCCGCCTCGTAGGGTTAAGGAGTTGATACAAGCGTTGGCGCACCTGGTACGGGGTGATGGCTAAGTCCGTGTTTGCTGTGATTTTTCAATCAAGGTCTGACTTTCAAGTGGGCTGCGGGCCCAGGAGGGCAGGGACGCCTGTGATTGCTGGGTTCGCCCGGGGCCTGCACGTGGCGGGCGGCAGGGTTTGTGGACAGCACCTGAGGCCCGGGCCGGGCGATGGGCAGGCTCTAGCAGCCCCCACACCCGTCGGAGGCCGGGGAGGGCAGGAGGGAAGCCCGGGGAAGGGAGCGGCGCGTCGAGGCTCACCAATCTCCACCTCCACCTCCTCCGGCACCATCGTGCGGTAGATGAAGAGCGCCGAGGAGCCCTCCTCCTCGCTCGCCTGGTTGAGGAAGTGCAGGATGAGGTCCTCGCCCTGGCCGTCGTCGCGGTTGAGCAGGTCCTCGAAAAGCTGGGGATCGGTGATGCCGAAAGCCGCATACACGCGGTCGCGCATCCACAGCACCCGCAGGTCGTCCATGGCGCTGCGCAGGGCAGAGGGAGCCGGGCGCAGGGCGGGCGTCCGTGGCAACGGCGGCCCTAGCAATGGGCGCCCCGGCAACTGCCACCGCCCGCCCAGCCGACGGCGCCGGCGCTGGGGGCTGCAAGCCCTGCAGCGCCCCGCGCCCGGCCCTGGATTCCTGAACCCGCGCGCCGCAGCCCGCGCCCCGGCCCCGAGCTCTCAGAGGCGCGCACCAGGCCCCCGGCCGGCCGAAGTAGGCTGGTTGCTCCCTGGTCCCGGCAGCGCGCACGCCCCTGGATGCGGAGCGGGACCCTCCGGGTCGCTGCAGCCAAGGGTCCGACCCCACCCCACGCCGACCCGGTCTGCAAGCAGCCCGCCCACCTCGCAGATGAAGCTGGGGCTAGAGAGGTGGCTAGACGAAGGTCACAGCACCTCAGCGGTGGCAGAGGCGGAATTAGAGGCCAGATAGAATGATATAGCCTCAGCCCTCAGCCACGTGGGTCGAAGGCCAGCGGAGGAGGAAATAAGCCGAGTTCCTCGTGGCCTAGGCAATCAGGGAAGGAGCAGAGTTCTTTGGCTTTCTCGCCAAACCACAGCATAATAAAGCGAAACACCCACGTTAAAAAATATAGATATATTTATTTGTCATTAGCAAAAGGAAGTTCAACACTGATAGAAGATGCAAATTTGTCCTTTCATGCATCTGTGGAGCAAAGTACTAACTTGTTCACTGTCTTTCCCTCACAAGGAGTTGAGCGCCTAGATGACTAGGCTAATCCTAAGAACCTACCTGGCCTTCTGAGATACTCCCATCAAAGAACAGTGGAGTGTACTAAGTATTTCTGAAAATTCCAAACCGAATCAACAAAAGTGGCCTGACTGTGGGAAGACTGTTCGTCCAAACTGCCTTATTCCCATCATGTTGATTTGAGTTTCATAATAACCTTCCTGGATACATTCCCTGTGGCACGCAAGCAAACCTGGCTTTACGTTTTTAATAGAGGAATTTATTGTTTTTAAATGCAGACTGCAGAATAGTTGTAGAAGTTGTTTTTTGTTTTTCTTTTCCAAAATGTATCAGGTTCTAAGTCTGAATATGTGATTCAAACACATCATAAGGTTGACCCTATGCTACAGGTATTCTGTGCCTTATTAAACAACTGCAGAGGGCCGGGCACAGTGGCTCAGGCCTGTAATCCCAGCACTTTAGGAGGCCGAGGCAGGTGGATCACCTGAGGTCAGGAGTTCAAGACTAGCCAGGCCACCATGGTGAAACCTGTCTCTACTAACAATAAAAAAAATCAACCAGGTGCTGTGGCAGGCGCCTGTAATCCCAGCTACTCGGGAGGTTAAGGCAGAATTACTTAAGCCTGGGAGGCAGAGGTTGCAGTGAGCTGAGATTGCACCACTGCACTCCAGCCTGGGTGACAGAGTGAGACACCATCTCAAAAAATAAAAATAAAAATTTAAAAAATAAAATAAACTGCAGAAGGGATGCTGACACCAGAATGTTGTTATAAAATATTCATGCCAGAAACCAAGAACAGAGCAGCATTCAGCAAAAGAGGGAGTTCCAAGTCCTTTCACTGCTGAAGGGTCCACACGCCACCCAGATCCTATCAGACAGAAGGCCCTCTGCACTCCTAACGGACCACCGCAATGGCCTGTCCAGCCCAGCAGGCTGAAATCAAAGTCTAGTTTACTGAAGAAATCCCTTGGGTTTCAAGATTCTGTTAACACAATGGTAATAAACATCTAAATGAAAATGAAAAATGTGGTGTCCGTGATATTTATCTTTTAGGAAAATAAACAGATATTCAGCATCATCCATACAAACCTTTGCCATCGTTTGCTCTGGATCTCTCCTGCCTATCAAGAGAATGAAATATGTTTAAAAACTGGATATATAATAGGTCTTACAAAAGGCTTAAAAACAAGCAAAAACTGAGTGACAACTCTGGTAACATGACACTGGAGCCCATTGCTTTAGCAGAAGACACAATTTCCCCGCACCTGTAAGAACACTAGTATCAAACTACATTTTCCAGAGAGCGCTTTTCCCAAAGTTAGGATTCTGGAATAATGCCATTCTACATAAATACTACAATAGATTTTAACAGAGAAATGACTGCATCCTCTGCTCTATGGCCTGAGAAAAGGTGTTAATTAGAAAAAAGTTAAAAATGTGGGTCCTGGCCGGCGCCAGCCCGGAGCGCGTGGCCGCAGGCGCCATAAATCCCAGCACTTTTGGAGGCCCGAGGCGGGTGGATCACGAGGTCAGGAGAATGAGACCATCCTGGCTAACACAGTGAAACCCCGTCTCTACTAAAAATACAAAAAATTAGCCAGGTTTTGGTGGCAGGTGCCTGTAGTCCACTACTCAGGAGGGCTGAGGGCAGGAGAATGGCAAAATGAACCCGGGAGGCGGAGCTTGCAGTGAGCTGAGATTGTGGCCCACTGCACTCCAGCCTGGGCAACCAGAGCAAGATTCCCATCTCAAAAAAAAAAAAAAGTGGCCCCCCATGAGAATGACTAGTGGGGAAAGTGGTGAACATTCCAGCAAATTACCATGTCCCCTTATTTACCAATCAGCTTAACAGTGCCCTGAAGTCTTGGGCTTCCAAGGGATGAAGCAAGTTACTATTGTTTTTTATGACAGATCCTTGGAGCAAAGTAACACAAATGTCCCTTTGTGGAAGCATTCAGCTCTAGGTGAAAGCACCTCTGAGACTTGACCAGCACTTGCTGGGATGTCAATCACCCCACACAAGTGGCCAACATGACACCTTTCTAGGGAAGTGGTAACTTTGAGAGCAGAATTATTCTCAAGCATTTCATCGGCATCATTTGATAATTTTTTTTTTTTTTTTTTTTTTTTTTGAGACAGAGTCTCACTCTGTCGCCCAGGCTGGAGTGCGCGTGGCGTGATCTCGGCTCACTGCAAGCTCCGCCTCCTGGGTTCACACCATTTCCCTCCTGCCTCAGCCTCCTGAGTAGCTGGGTCTACAGGCGCCCGCCACCTCGCCCAGCATTTTTTTTTGTATTTTTAGTAGAGACGGGGTTTCACCGTGTTAGCCAGGATGGTCTCCATCTCTGACCTCGTGATCGCCCCACCTCGGCCTCCTCAAAGTGCTGGGATTACAGGCGTGGAGCCACCGCCGCCGGCCTTTAATTTGATAATTTAATATGAGGGACAAAAAGCAGTAAATCCAAACTGGCCTTGGGTAACATCTCATCAAGCAGCACATAGAATCTGTACTATAATCAAAAGGGTTGAATTTTAGGCCACAGTTATGTCAAGGCTGTTCAGCTCATGCCTTGAAATCACCTGCATAGCCACGGTAAACTCAGCACCACCAGACTCTCAGCTTGCAACAGAAGTGCCAAGCTCTCTACCTCGAAACAGGATAAAGGAGGATGGGGGCAAACAGCCTTTTAATGTGTATCACTCACAATGTTAAGAAGGTGGAAAAAAGGTTTCTTTTTGAAAATAATTGTCTAAAATCAAACAAATATGAAAAATTAACATAATTTGCAAGAATATAGATCAAAATGTTCAATAGGACTGACTCAAGTTCACAAAAAACTAAATGTCAAGTAAATAGATGAATTTAAACTAAAGATTATAAAATAATGGCTATTGAGAATTAGTTTTCAACTGATCTAAACAGTGTTTGAAAGTTTCAATACTTTTATCAGAACTTTAGCTAGAAACAGTCTGAAAGTAAAAAAATTATCATTAGACTGCTCTCAAGGATAAGTGCAATCTCTTCATGGTAAAATATCTTCATTTATATTTTGTTATAAAAATATACAAAATACTACTTTTTACCTTTCCTTCACTCAGTATAAACCCTTCTGGTTCAGTGACATCAGTCAAGCTGTCACTAAATTCAAATCATGTCCACATTATATCTTCTACAGTCACACTGGGTTTTAAGGCTCAGTATACAATTTATATTTCCAAACATACAGTTATCATAACTGGTTTTATGTAAGGATAACAGGATAAGAGTCTTTAAAAAAAATACAAGTAGGATAACCATTTGTTGTATGTCATTTTATCCCATTGTCCCCAATTACTAAAACAAGACAAAACTGTAAAAACAATCCTCTACTTGTAATTCTAGGTAGCACAGGATTAAAAATGTTTGCATATTTTGGCCCGGCACGGTGGCTCATGCCTGTAATCCCAGCACTTACGGAGGCTGAGGCGGGTGGATCACTTGAGGTCAGAAGTTTGAGATTAGCCTGGCCAACAAGGTGACACCCCATCTCTACAAAAATACAAAAAAATTAGCTGGGCATGGTGGCACACGCCTGTAGTCCCAGTTACTCAGGAGGCTGAGACAGGAGAATCACTTAAACCCAGGAGGCGGAAGTTGCAATGAGACAAGATTGTGCCATTGCACTCCAGCCTTGGTGACAGAGCGAGACTTCATCTAAAAAAAAAAAAAAAAAAAAAAATTGCGTCTTTTTAAATTCAGCAGAATAAATGTGAATGTTTTGATAACTCATCATTAAATTTTTTATAAAACTATCCCTACTTCAGCTGTTGGAAAATATTATCTGGCAACTTCAGGTGACAGATTAACTGTTTTTTTTTTTTAATAAAGTTTAAAGGAATCAAGTATCTAATACCATTTTCAATTAGCCATGCAAAATTGGCTTCTCTCCCCCAATCCTGTATTTGAAAAAATAACTTTAACATAATGTTTGGCATTAACTTATATTTGCTCATCATAAAACACCAAAAGAAATTTTTATATCTCAAATTGGTAAACTTTACAAAATATTTAACATATGAGGAAGAGGTATATCTTACAGAATTATTTGGCTATGTCATAAGGCAGTAATGAAGATGGAATTTTTCCTATCATAAATCTGACAGAAGTGAAATTCATAACATGGTCATTCTCCATAAATCTGAAAGCTTGTTGGTTACAGCAATATGATCATGCCACACTGTCGTCGTTATTGAACTTTGATGATAGTAGACTGAATGAGAAAGGAACAAA